CATATATAGCAAAAATTTTAAAAAATGTCACATATTTATTTGCTAAACACTTCAGTAAGGGATTTTGCTTTGCCTTTGTTAACTGAAGAAACCAAAACTTTTTAAGTGAAAATACACCACAAGTTTTTTCCACAAAACAGATGATAAATTTTGAGCAACCCATTTTTACTAAAAAATTATCTGTTCTCAGTCGCAGTTCCTCTGCTACTTAAAGCAATTGTTGATTCACCCAATCCCAGAGCTGACCGCTAACGCGAATAAACAGCTAAACGGCCGTATATGAAACTGTTACCGCTTAAATAGACACTAAAGAATGCATTTCGTGGGGCGTTTGACTAATTTTCCTAAATTGCTAATTTGCTGGCTCTAGGATGCCGCTTATTTCACGTCAAAACCGGTGACTTATCGTATCCTGAAAGGATGACCAATCAGCATCGATATCAGACACTGACAACCAAAAAGTAAACACTCTTGGTCAGATGATGGCGTCGGTTGAAATAAATACATTTAATCGAAAGCCATAAAACCCTTTTATTGCGCACATACGCATACAAGCGCACAAGAATACGCAACTGACCGTGTCCACCAATCCGCATCCAGTTTGCGGCTGGACCAATGGATGCAGCATCAGCTGTTGTATGATCGTCGGTCCGTCCAATTGCATGTGGTGAGCAGGCTTGCATATGTGGTCCTCCAGATCATACCATCATAGACTATGCTCGTATAAAGCCACCGGTCACAAGTGTATCAACGTGCCTACTATTGTGTCTGTGTACATACATCCTTCTCATATGTATGGGCACTGGTGATAAGGAAGACTTGTAACTACACACAATGCATCGAACTACTAGGTTTTATTTTACACGACCACTCAGCTTCACTCTCCTTCTTCTTCTTCTTCTTCTTACAACACCTTGCCAATCACGCAGTCAATACTCCACGCCCAAAAGGGGGATTTTTGCAAATGCTTCGTCCGCAGCTAGTCAAAGCACTTTCCCACAATCTGTTGCGTCTATCATGGAATTCGAGCCGGAAAGAAGTCTCGAGGAATTATATCCTACAGGCAGATATCTGGATCCCTGTAAAGCAAGTGAGGTTCATGAACAATTTATTTACATTTCGTTAAAATGGTCCCTCTATCAAAAACCAATTTGCACACATATCTGTGCAAGGTTGTTATTCGTCAAACTTCTCTACATGATTCCTGTCTTATGGAATCACCAGTAGCTTTATTTGTGGATTAAAATCCCCTTGTTGTTTTTGAAAACCCCTATCTTGTTTGGCATAACAAACTTCCCAAGACATTGCTGGTTAGAATGCGAACGTCCAAATACAGATTTTCGAAGTTTTATAATGCCTTACCTTTCATCATGGCCATTATTTTTCATGAATATGGTCCTGAATTTCTTACGAAAGTGGAGAAAAATGCTAAAAATGGTACTCTTACGCGACTCTTGAAGATAACGTCTTAATACAACAGGCCCATAAATGTTATTTTGTCCATATTATCACGTAAATGTATTTACACCGACTGCCTGTAAATTTAGAGAGGTATTTGAAAATTGGTAAGATACGATTTATCGAAGGCCAAGCAGAGGGCACTAGGCCAGTATAAATTTTCCATCAAGGAGTGTTAAATTATCGTCCTTTTCCCTTTTACCACTTGCATTCGTGAGGTCGTGTAGCAGATAACTTGGCTTTTCACTCCGCGCTTTTTACCGACATCAGCTTTCTTCTTGCCTTAATCATTTGATGGCAAAAGTTCACTCAAATAATTGCCACTGTATATCGGAATTCGGATTTTGAAGTGTAGATTCCCAACATAACTACCGAAAAGAGGCTTTAAATCGTGTGGCTGAAATGGCACAAAGTAAAAATTTGCATAGGTTCTAAGCAAACAAGCTGATTAATCCACTATTTTGGAAATATTTTAATTGAATAATTTTTCAGATTTGTGTTATGGTAGGTTCCATTGAAATGAAAGTAATTACAGGGGCAGATCGTATAATTAGTGAAACCATTTCCCACATCTTTAGGTCATGGCACTATGAAGGGGTATGATTAAATTATTGTTCCCCATCAATTTAAAGTCTCGGAAAACCATGACCTTTAAAGGGAATAGGTTTCAATCGGTTAACGTAAATTTTAATGCAGTTACCTCCGCACATCATAAGGCATAGCATCCCTTAGAAAAATATTAAAGCCATACTGTTCTCTTCCATTAGAGACCACTGAAATTTTTAAGTTTTTGGCGCGTCTTTTCATCGCAATTTCCCCTCAAACAAAGGTTTGCAGCCAGGTAGGCAGGCAGGGGGTTGGGGGGCTGAGAAGCCTAGTTCCTGGCGCGACCGTCTAGAGATTTGGGTATAATTTATCATAGAAGCCGATAGACCTACTTTGCAGTCACGACTGCAGGGTCATTGTGGCCCCCATTTTAGCCCAAAGGAATAGAAGGGAAGACATACGCACGCCTACCCATGCTTCCCCCCTGGACAGGGATTAAACCATTATCACGGTCCATGCAGTATCCAGTTTTATGATAGGAAGGCTGAAAGATGGCTTCTAGAAATGTCCTTCATCAAGTTCTCAAACCATACTATTTAAACTTGTTTCTATAAAGGAAAAATACAAATGACGAATTAAGATGTGCTACAGGCTAAGCATCATTTAAACTTGGGTTAGCGCTTTCTAGATCTTTCACAGACTAGTTCATAACCGGCGTTATGGTGGATGTCTCTACAGAGGATCGCGGTGATAACACCTTTATTCGAATGACACAATCCCCTAAAACATGTAAAACTACGGAATATGAGCTGAAGGCAGGATGTTGATTATACACACTGCGACACACGCGGAAATAAACTTAGCAGATGATTGTCTAGTGCAGCATCCTGTTCCGCTTTCATGTTTGGTGTTGAACCAGAAAATTTACAGTTGTAGTGATTATGTTCTCTTGTGTCATCATCATAATCACCAGAAATAGGAGTTACAGTAGGACACATCATAAATGTTTTTTTGGAATGGACAATTAGTCATGCGCTGGGCTATTATGTTGAATCATTTGGAGATGTCCTAAATACCGTCAGTTTGAAACAATGTACGTTGTAAACTGATAACATAAGCCGTCCTTTGGATACGTTATGTACATAATAGTTTCCCGTTGCCCTCACCACCTATTTTGGGTGTTTGTTTACAAAAATCTTTAGTTACTTTTAAACTGAATCACGGGATCTGAGCTTAAGACGGAATGAATAAAACCAAAAGCGAATGAAACCATCTCTAATATGCGCGATCGGAGGGCAAATCTCCCCATAGCTTTCTCTCCTTCTTTTGTAATCCCATCAAAGTTTTCTTGATAAAAGTGTGAGCGTGCGTTACGATGGTCATCTTATAAAATAATGCACTATAACGTAGTCCAATGCATAATGTTTGCCTAGAGGTTGATGAATGCATAAAAGGGGGACCATTTTTCAGATCATTTTTTGAAAAAACATGGAGTAGTCTACACGAGAAAACTAGTTTACTGCACAACACCCAGAATCGTGTGACTATAGCAGGAAAACTAATATATGATCAGGACGTTAATCATCGTTAAGTGACTAACGTACATGCGACAATGGATTTCGTAAACCTAACTCTTGAAGTCCTAAACACAATTGATGCGCCAATTTTGCAAAATAAGGCGTATTTTTCGCCCTCTGGACAATTATTAACATTTCCCCATAGAAGTCTATACCTGATGGTTTAACTGATGTCAATGGCGCTGGGACAGTTAATGGGCTTACTTAATGGAACCTCAAGGTGACTGATTCATCCGCCTTAAGTCATGTCTTTTTTGTGTCCAGCTGCTGTTTCCTTTATGTTCTGCCTCTTTTCAAGTAATGTGCCTGTCCAAAGCAACCTATTCTCCCTGCATCACTATTAACCAAAGCTTACTTTTTGCAATCCGAAATGCATAATCGACAGCGCCACAAACAATGTATGCATCAAATGTACCATATTGGGTATGGCTTGGTTAATCAGCAGTGTAAAGAGAAACCTACTTCAGATTTCGCGATGCATGTGTTCACTTTGTGAAAAAAGGAGATGCGGACCATCGCACAGGTCAGGACAATTGATAGCAATCCAGTGTATGCAAATTAGTTTGCAATTTTTTTATTGCGGTCTCAATATGAAAAAAAAAACATGTTTTAAAGAACGTTTCTCATATTTCCTTCATGCATCATCTTCTATTTTTGCATGATAAGCACCCAATTCCCGCTAATCTAGTCATACTACTCGTAAATATCAGTTATTCAATAGCCAGGAGCTCCTGGTACCTGGAATAAATTAAAGTAAGTGTTATTTCAAGAAAGATCTGTTCGTTATCAGCTGTTTAGACGACAAACTTGGCCAATGTGTAGGATATAATTCACTTATTTGCAGAGATAAATGAATATGTATTTTTAGGGGCCTCGAAACGAAACCGAAGTCTAGATTGGGCGATACCCCTAGCAGGTAACTTAGTTAAGCTGCACGATACGTCATGCTAGCCAGTCGGCTGAACAGCTAGCCGTCGTGACCCCGAGTGACCTCAATAAAATGTTCAGTTGCATTTAGGCCCACAGGAGAGCGAAAAATTTAATGTTCTTGCTTGTCTCAAAACGACCATGAGTAATTAAAACTACATTTGGTGTCCAATGCCCTGGCATTTTTACGTCTGCCAAACGATGTGGGATTAATTTCTGTTGCTATAATTCCTCTGTATGCATCCAAAATCCTTATGAAAAATATGCTTCACACCTGAACGAGTTATATTGCTTTTAAAAAGTCTTCCAATTCTATATAGCCACACGCTTTTAGTTGTGTTTTTGAAAGAAAAGCACAAGATATGAGGTATCTACTCAAACTCACAGAGCAATATCCAAAAGACTATTTACTATATATATATACTATTTCTCCATCCCATTATAGTTGGCTACACGGGAGACATCGCCTTATCAGATGCCGAGGCGGAAAACATGGTTAGGCGTTACGGAAGCGTCGCCGAAAAACCGCTCCAACAGTGGATTGAACACTCAGACACCTACGCCTACCATGGATACCGCGACTCTGCTGATAAGTCTGTGGGGGATGGAGAAAATAAGTTCAAAACCGCCACCGAAAGCAATGTTGGGAACAAGTAGAGCACTAGCTAATTTAATGGTTTTGCGCTACATCTGAACTCAAGTGTACATATGATAGAAAAAGATCTAGTCGAGAAAGAAATCGCAGATTTACTATGAACTGATCCCATGATTTTAGCCAACTCTTCCATAACATCCGGGAAGTACATGAAATGAAGCTCATAACTCCATGAGAAACTGTTAGGTTCCTGACTTACTTCTATAAATTTAAATATTCCAAATCATTTGCAGAATTCACGAGGAAAAATGAATTAATTGCTTGATGGGATAGTTATGGCCTTTATAGCATTTTCATTGGTAATTTTGTGCCTTGTTAAATCTCACTACCGCTGTCGGTGATTCGAAAAGTGAAGTGATTTATTTGTACTGTGTTTAAACCTTTAAAACTGCAAACATCTCTCCTGTCCTTAGAACTTTACAAAACTTGATAGCACTACTCTTTTCAAATAATCTCCTTCCACGTAACTGTTCTTGAGAAAAAGTCTTGTGGGTATTTAAAAATAAATTCGCAATGTTAACTACTTGATTATCTGAAATATCCCACCTGCGATTCATTTAGTTTTCCAACTAGGAAACAGGATCCTCTACTTTGTTTCTGTCATTCTTAACTTTTCTTATTTGAACTGCAGAAAATTTTGCCAATGGATTTCTAAGCAGGGCATTTTATTTAAATTCATCCGCACGTCTGAAAGTACTCTACATATATAGATATCGGTTGTATACATGCACAACGTAAAAAAGATGTCTACTGTGAATCATCCATGTGCACTGACAAACCTAGCAAGCATCACTCAAGATCGAGTGATAAAAAATGCCGATAGGCCATAGAAACTTCACTTTCTCCCTCACCAGGTCATTCGCCCAAAAACCCCTTTATCTCGCATCCAACTCGCGAAATAAAGCCACGAAGGGTGCAAACAAACGCCAGCGTGAGCGTCGTCGCCACTTTCGTCGCAAGCGGCGAAGGAATCGAAAGGAAGCCTTGGCAGACGATGCTCCATTGAGACGAGAACAGTATCTTCATCGATTGCAACGAATTGCTGAGCGTCAAAGGAACCTTCAGGCCAAACTCGCCATGCTGTCACGTAAACAACAAAATATTCTTGAAAGAGTAATACAGTCAAAAGAAGTGAAATCGGTCGTAAGAAGTCGGCGCAGTGTCAAGCAGAGTCTGAAGACACTCCAGGAAGTGGATGAGGAGGACCAAGTTGGTTTGGCTGAGGAAGACCGTCCAAGGCGGCGGGTTCGGAGAGCTGCAACGGCGTACAAGTCGAGAACTTGGCCCTACGGTGTCATTCCCTATGTAATACAGGCAAACTTTACAAGTAAGTCTACGCGGCTTTGTGTACGTCTGAGTGATCCCCCTTGGGTGGAGAGTCCAGTGACTTGCGTAAATAATACCCCAGATTGTCCAAAAGCTGTGCTTCTCATGTGGGTGCCTTTCTGTGTTTTACCAAGTGAACAAAATCTCACTTATCTTCAATCACCATTACGAATCCCATCCACTACCAAATTATCAGGTAATTCGATGGAGCTATGAAAAATTCAACGATTGGACCAGAATAAATTATGTATTTCTTTGGTAAATTAGATGCGGCTAAAATGAGTTTAATCGGAATGTATGTCCGCGAAAAAAAAATTAACGCACTTCCTATATTCATCTCCCTCTCTAAATACAGTAAGTAGTTTCTGAGAAACGTGAATAAGAATGTTGAGGATGCAAGAGGAAGTTGTTGTCAAACTCTTTTTTTCATTTACTTTATTCTTTTAAAAAAGTTGTGAACCAATTAGTATCCAATTACTTAATGGAGCTCAATTTATAGATCGCTTTCTGTAAACAGCTATATTAGGTGCCATTTTTGCGACGCTAGTGTCGTAACAGCCAAAAGCTCCGTTTAGGTGATGTCAATCTGAATACGGATTACCTTTTTGCATTTACCATCATTCCGAACTGTGAAGTTGTTGTAGAGCTTTCAAGAATTCCCCACACACTTTCAAACACACAGGAATAGAAATTAGTTTACCATTTAATGTAGAAGATGTGAAAGTTTCATGATGTTTAGTACTGTGTAGTTTTGGAAGAACTTTCTTTGACTGGATGCTCTTGGAAATGATAGAAATTGCAAGTTTCTGAAGCAGTTCACTTAATTCCCAGTGGTGTTCTAATTTTTATAGAATTTTCTTCGAAGATGATCGGTAGTAAAACTTTCTTAAACACTGGTGACATGCAGATACATTCCCCTTGCTTAAGGCGGATGTACAATGAAACTAGGGTATTCAGTTCTAAAAGTGTTATTTGGTGTCACAGTGTTCTAAACGATGGCTAGTTTCGTGTCAAAAAGGTAATCTGTCACCCACTGGACAGGCACTATTGATAAGGATACATCTATTATCCCAGATTTAACGATTCCATTACCAGACTCGGATAGGTAAACGCAGACACGTTCTGCTTAAATCCATGCTACTCGAAACCGAAAAGTGTAATCATCCTTGGACCAAGGAAACCACTCATCTCTTTAAACCATCTATTCGAGACCCAAGATTCAGTAGATTAGAATAGGACACAAAGAATATTCCCCGCTACGAGACCATTTCTGTGTGCACTGTTTACAGGAACGGGTTGCACAGCAAACACGTAAATCCGTATATCCGGAAGTGACATGCACTTGTCATGCACGCACGTACACACACAGCTGCACACATCGGCGACAAAATACGTCTTGTTTTTGCTAATTTGCCAAGCTAATTTTCGTAGATTTTAAGGATGCTAGAACGAAACCGGTTTCTTATTACCTGCGTGTGTCACATAATTGATTTAAATTACGACGTGAACGTTATCCACTCGTCAAGGTCACTTTTTAAGTCTCCTTTTCTGTGTGTCTGCATTTTATTGACCTTGTCAACCAGGCAGCGCTGGCAGCCAGCCTTCAGATGACCCTCTCTTTCGTTATTTTTATCCACCACTACACGTTTTTGCATGATATGGCTGATGAAGGGATTTCTAGGCCCCAATTGAGAGCGAATTAAAAATGTCATTGAAGCTAATCTTTCTACATCAGTTAAGGTGATATTGAAACCTCATGAGATCAAGATTATGCTTGGAATGATATGCACGATCTGATATGCTAAATAATTTCTGTACTTTTTATTATGTTCTACCGAAATGTGCTTAAACGCTGAAGACTTCATAATTCATGACTTCTTATGTCACACCATGGAAAGGTGAAATCTAGAATTAGGCAGAAAGCCTTGGCGCCAAGAAGAAACCGAAAAATGGGGCGACTGAAGGCTCTGCAAAGTTAAGTGTGTTAATAAAACAAATATTATCCTTTTACAAGCTTTCAGAAGCCTTTTCCCTATATTACGTTCAATGTCTTGATTCAAGTAACTAATTGGAAATTCAAGTTCCTTTCGAATGCCAAAATTTACATGAGAAAGTTTTTCATTAAACTTTGTCCACCGCAAATGTTACAAATTGGTGAATTTGCGATTACACATTAGTTTTTTTGATGACTTTTTAGGTGAAACTAAAGCCACTATTATGAAAGCCATGAGGCATTGGGAGAATCATACATGCCTGAGTTTTGTTGAACGTGAACCCCAGCACAAATCCTACATCATCTTCACTGTCAAGCCATGTGGGTAAGCTGCCAGTCAAATGTGTTTTAAAGGAATCAAAATATTGCCAATTTCTGATTAAAGGTAAAGTGCAATCTTTGAGGGAATAGAGCATTACAGAGTTACAAAAAAGCTTGTGTAATTTTTCCTCAAGGCTAATCTAGTTGATTGACATCGGCCTGACCTTTACACCAAATTGACAGGTAGACCGTTGCCTTTAAATCCTTCCATTTTTTTTACATTGGAGGCCATCTGTCAAGCATAATGTAGTCGAAAGATTATGGGAAAAATCGTCCTGACTTACTGTATTCGTTTCATGTAAGCCTAAATATTAGCTGGCTGATTACCACACGAATCTTTGAAGGTATTCAGATTTACTCTAGTCCCCATTGGATGGTAGAAGAAAGTCAAAAAACCTTCATTAAATTGAGGGCCGCTTTCTTTTTCAGATGTTGCTCTTACGTAGGACGCCGAAGTGAGGACGAACCGCAGGCTATATCAATTGGCAAGAACTGTGACAAAAAGGGCATTGTTATTCACGAGTTGGGTCATGTCATTGGCTTTTGGCATGAGCACACCAGGCCGGATAGAGATGGTGGGTTAAAGTTCCTCAGTTTTCGAGCTGAAATCAAGCGGATTTTTTCACAAGTTTAGGTGAATTATTAATTCCGGTTTAATGTATTAACTACTTACTATCCATAGTTAACTAAACGGGTCTCTCTAGACATGCTTGCTCGACTTTTAGGGATATTTCAGGAAAACTTTGAAGGGGAATTGTTCTAACTATGGGCGCAACCTGGATTTAAGTTCACGGCATTCTGAGGTAGCTGCTGGTGAAAGGGAAGGACAGAAATTGCGACTTCCCCGGTCTGTGTTGATTACCAACATGAAATTAGAACTAATTTCAACTGCCACTTCTATGCTTTAAAAGTCGGTTTTCTTTGGTATTTGCAACGAATCCATTGAAACGGAGTTAAATATGTGTGATGTATGCTTCTCGAATCCCTGGTAAGTAGTGACCTGGTAATAACAACTGACGTTCACACAAAGTTATGCTAGCGCAGCTGCGTTTGTGTACCCATATTTGATGCTTTCCTTGGTTTTTACTTTCCCTCTCTCCAATTTTCTGCCCATTTAAGTAAAAAGTTTGGTTTCGGAAATTTGAGATCAGGGCGCAGCAGTGCGAGGCTGTATGGAGAACTTGCATTATTCTGTCCGTTTTTTAATTTTCATGAAATAGTGGACCAAAATTCTGCTGTAATTCCTTCGAAAATTTACTAGTAACCTTCTGAAATGACGGGAACAAATTGTCATTATGTGTGCAAATGGGTTGTGTTTGCAAATTCTTAGCAAGTTCGCTCTTCCCACCTGCCTTTTCATTTTACGAATAAACATCAGCGAAGTTGCACATTCCACCGCTAATGGAATAAACAAAGTTCAAGAGGACCTAAGAATAAGTCTTTTTCTTCTTCTCCTCCTAGATCATGTGGAGATTCTGCTGGAGAATGTTGTAGAGGGACAGGACTTCAACTTTAAGAAGATGGACTCGGGTGAGGTGAATTCGCTGCGAGAGCCCTACGACTATAGCTCCATTATGCACTACGCAAAGGGCACCTTCGCTAAGGCCAATAAGGATGAGACGATTCGACCCAAGGCCTGCTGCCCTCGTCCCCCCATTGGTCAGCGTATTCAACTCAGTCCGGGTGACGTCCGACAAACCAACAAGCTCTATGGATGTCCATGTAAGCTTGCACCGAAAGCAACCCTGTAAATAACATAGGTTTCAAGTGGTGAATATGCCCATTATGAATAAAAATGTCAGTAAGCGAGTGACATTTCAATATTGCGCATTAGTAGATATTAGGTCTTTAAATAAGTTCGGCCTGGAAGATTATCCATGTAGGTCATGAAATCTTGACAAATAAGCCAGTTTAAATCCATGAATAACCATTCAGGTGTTTTGTTTCTTCAACCTTGCGTTTTTCTTTTGAATGAACTGGTAGCCTCATAGTTTTTTCAAAGATGCATGGTTTACGATGCAAAGAATATTCGGCCACAGTTCACGTATCCCCTTAAATGGACCTTTAAAATATAGACTCTCTAAACATTGAATAGGCCATTTCTTCCTAGTGAATTAAACAATGAGTACAAATTGTTGAAAAACGGTGAGATTGTGCGATTTTAGGCAGTCAGTGGAAAGTTAAGCTGATTTAAGAAATTATTTTCAAATTAAGTATACTACCTGTTAGTGATTTGAATTTCGTACGCAAGAAGACAGAGGTCTACGCTGAGTTCCTTATAATACAGTCAGTGTTTCACACACTGAATAGTCTGTGCAAAGTCAAGCTAAGAGACAACTTTTGGTGCATCATTGATAAAATAAGTACTTTTTTACCCAGTAGTGTCGTAAATTAAAGTTAACAGACGCCTTACCTCCTTATTATCTAAATTTTCCATTTCGTACGTAAATGGTAACTTCGTGCACCACTAGTTAGCCGAGTAAACAGTCTCCATAGGACCACGGCATTTAACTTCTTAAACAACAGTCCTTTGTATGAATTCCACAAAAAAGAGGGTAAACATACCTTCAATTTTGGCTTGAAATGATGTAACTTCGGGGAGAGTTGAAGCGTTTTTTTTGTGCAAGACTAGATTTTGAAACAAATTCTGCTCACAAAAGTAGGTTCAAGCCTAATTTCGATTGTTTACTAGAGTGATGAACTTAGCAGCTTTCTTTTGTATTTAAATGGCATAAAATTATTTCTGTCTCAAGTGACAAGATTTTCTGAAGTGTTGAAAACTTTAGAACTTGTCTCAGAAAAAACATTGTATGGCCTTACGTACACAAATAAAATTTGGTTCGAAGTATTAAGACTCTCAGGGGAAAATTGACCTCTGCATCCGCCTACTTACTTTGGCTTCCTTTTAAGTAACGCGTCACACATTTGTGACGTGAGGACCTAGGTATAGAAATTGAGGTGTTGCATATATGTGTCACACGAGCTGCGAATGTGTTAACTCATACAGATTTTCTAAAAGACTAATATATATAAAAGTGCTAAAATTTCCTTTAAATGTCCATATCATTTTGGGATTACAAATTGACCTTCTTCTAGATTGTTCTAATCCAACACTTTTAGAAAAGTGTTGCTACTAGAAAATCTTGTAAAATACCAAAATTTTGGACATTTGAAATTAATTTGTTGAATATCATTTCAAAACAGTATTGATACGTGTTCTTATATCCGCATAGTTGAAGAAAACCTGAATGTTAATTTTTGCATTACTTAAAAGTCAGTTCTTCAAAAAAAGGAACAGTCTTAGCGAAATACTTCTAACTGTATGAAATGAAATATGGGTAGATTTTGAACAAGCGAGTATTGCCTTGAATTGCAGCCTGCGGTCGAACCCTAATGGAGCCATCAGGCACATTCGCCTCGCCACAGATGTCATGGGTCATTCACAACAGCCACGACTACAACACTGCCTCCGTGCCCGATATTGATTTCAACTCACCCGAAATTCTCACAGACCCTGCCTCCTTCTACCACCCTCTGACACACGAACTGCCCACCGCCCATCGGCTCTCGGGCATGGTGGGTGATCACCAAGGTCGAATGGTCTCTGACGATAGTCGATGGGCAAAGTTTGCCTCAATTACAGAGAAATTGCATGATCAAAACCATGGTGGCATCGAATCCGCAGCTCCTTCTTCTTTGGAATTTGCTTCCGTGGGACCTCTATTCTGCCAGTGGCGAATTATTGGCGCAATGGGCGAGCGAATTCATCTCAATTTCACTTACCTTGACGTTTTTCAACAGCATGATGATCTGAAATCGGTGGTTGGGGGAGGAGGACTGGCGTTGAGTCGGGGGTCTTCCCAACTGGCTTGTGCCAGTGACTATGTGGAGGTTCGGGATGGATACTACTCGGGATCTCCATTAATAGGTGAGAGGACTTACCATTTTTATAAAATATTTGTATCTTAGGGAGGTACTGTGGAAAAACCCTTCCATCGATGATAATATCCACGAAGTCAAGACTTTGGATAGAGTATAGACGATCTTCTGGTTCCCTCAGTACAGGATTTGTAGCTGAATATCAAGGTAAGCGTGTACTAAAACTAATGCAACTCTCCTAGCCGTCTGTGGAGGTGAAATTGTACAGGAAGAAGGTATTATTACAAGTCCAAGCTATCCGGAATTTTACAAACCCAACAAGGAGTGTATTTGGAAAATTGTCGTTCCTACTGGATTCTCTGTGGCTTTGGCATTCCAATCCTTCGATGTAAGCGCCTTAATGCAGAAATTGGCTTTTTTGGTATAAAATCACCCGCTATTTTTCGGAAATTTCTCCTTATAAATTCATGTTTTAATAAATTTGCATTTTTGGGGCAAGTAATTGATGATAACATTAGCCCTCTTTCCAAGATAATTCTCACGTTGGCTTGCAGACACTTTAATAGCTTTGGTTTTGTGGAATTTTTACTTGCAAATTGTCTGGCAAAATTATTTATTTCATAGATGATTAAGTGCCTCCACCTTTACGCTTTTGTTAGCTACAAAGTCTACTTTGTTATTAATTGTTGCTTTTAAGTCTGTGTTAGTTCTTTGCTTAAACTGTCATAATCAAACCGTGACGAAAATGGATAGGGTGGATTTAAAATGAAAAAAATATTTGCGGGTTTTTAAGATGAAGGAATAATTATACTTTTCACCTAAAAGTTTAAAACCACATCTAATAAAAACTGATGACAAATGACACCAGTAGTGGCCAGAGGCAGTCTCTTGTATTCACCGTACCAAAGAGGGTATCTTAACACAGCGGTATGAATGAATGTCATAAATGACCTAGGCGTCAATTGCATGAACATTTCGTTTAAAACATATTTTTTTAAAACATAATTTTGGGAATTTGCACCTTTTAAGGCGGGCCAATGCAGTCTGTTGTAAAAATTTAGAGTGGTAAATACTCTGAGCATGATTGGATCATTAACTCAGTGGGAAAACTTTTAGACTTCATTGGTCTATAAATGAGAGCCCAATTTATTATTTGAAAGACAAGATTTTTCTCCAATTTGTACAGAATATGGACAAATTTATATGAATGTAAGTTTAAGCACCTCTAAACAGTGAAGCCGACGAAATTGGTCCTACGATTTAAACGGCTTGAAGTGTAGGTTTGCGGCTTTATGACTACACCAAAATGCACACGCATCAATCGTACAACGCGCCAAACTTAGTGGCTAAAACGTTCACAAAGCAAAATGCGCATGCGCCTCTCCACGGCTTTGTGGAGCCACAAACTTAAACGCCCTGTGAAATAAACTACGTATGTGGCAGCCGAGTTGCGTAACCTGAAGATCTACTTCTCTAACCCTATTAGGCTGAAAAATCAACATCATTTTATTAATTATTACAGATTCTGAGCTATAGCTTGGAGTAATGTTGACATTGTGCTTCATTTTCAAGTAGATACGAATCGGAGTTCTTGAGTTCCCTTGTTCAAAATAAATATAAATTTTGAGCATAAAACTGAGATTGGCAAAACATCCAAAAAGGTCATTTTATGAGTAAAAATACCTATATTTGATGGCTTGCTTAAAACTGAAAATATATTTTTGTCTAAAAAAATGTTACTCGTGAAATTGTGCAATTTTGAAAAAGCAGACACTATATAAGGAGGACTTAAGTAATATAACTGCATATGCAATTTTCATACCATTTCTACTGCTTCTCTCTATAGCATGGGCATAAAGCATTGTAAAAGTAATAAAAATTGCCTGTTTTTCGACTTGGAAAACATTTGTTTTTTATTTTGGAGGCTTTTGGTACTTTTCACCATTGCTATCAGCGTCTTTCTAAGAGAAGAATCGGTCATTACAGTCTAGAGGTTTCATAGCTTGGAGACGACATCAACTATTTCCACTCCTATTCATTCTTCCAAAGTCCTTTACATCCTTTTCAGCAGAGATGCTATATACACACATAACATGCGGTCTCAAGTTTGAAAACTGATGTGTCACACATGTGTGACGCCGAAAGCAAGTATTAAAATATGTATTCACTGCATAAAATATTCTATAATAACTAAACAAACGTAGTTCTAAGGGATAAATTTCTCCCAAGATTATGAAAATTAACTTTTTGCAGACAACAATTTTACGTATTTAATGGAGATTTTCAAAATTTGCTGCAAAAGTAACTTCCTGATTTACCTATTCAAAATAACGCAAAGACTAAGGACTGCCGTTGATTATCTAAATCATTTCAGCTTAACTATTCATTTGATATTTGATACGCATAGTCTCTATTGTAAAAATACAGGTGAGCCGAGGATATCTAGCTCCCCGAGACTTACCTGAAGGTGGAGGAAAATACAATACTCGAACAGAACATATGCATTCGACATTAGTAAAGCAACTGGCATAGCAAAGTACCTAAGTCGTCCCTTTAACAAAACCAAGTGTAGAACAAACAACCAATTTATCGCATAGCCCTTTTTTGAGCGTTGTCCACAGCTCTTCCCTTGGTCTACATCCCGCATCAGTCGCAAAAAAATGATTGGTGCAGTAAGAAAACACCCACGCGTAAACTGTGCCAGTCACTGAATTTTCATGCAACTGAGGAGCTACTTGACTGCGATGTAACTGATCCCTCTTGGCGATTCTACCGAATGTGGAATTTCATCCTGTATGAGAACTAAATTCGGGGACGGGAGACTGTACCGGCCATTGCGCTTGTCCATAGGTAGTTGTGGAAACACTGGCCTAAAGGCAGAGTCGTGCATCAAACGACGGGTTTTAACATAGTGTCGTGGTGGTAGGGTTTCACGTCAATTCTTCCTTGCCACGTTGTTCTCACTTCAGTACTGACCAGCTATACCTACTTGGATTTAATCTAGGGGGTTGAGAAGTGGAGGAGCTATTTCGAGTTCACGTAATTGATATCACCATGCAGGTAAGGTAGACAGCTCCGTAATGAACTTTTCTAGATAGTTCATGGATAGCTTTGCTTTAGGTGTTAGTAGCTTGCCTGCAGACCAAGGGACCGGGCAGCTGCCGAAGGTTGATGCCAGTTTCAGCCCTTCTGTTTGGGGCCGCCAGCGATTCTCCCGTTGCAGGATATAGACTTCTACCCAGCTAAGGTTTATCACCTAGCGGTGTAAATCAGGGCATATGTCATTTAAAATAGAGTTCGCTTTTCGCTGCCATCAACGTAGTGCCCTGAGACCTTCCTTAAGACATAATACTTCGACAGAATATTTTATTCAATGTACAGCAGGGCCGGGACTGCCGGCATGACTTAGAGGCCAGCCCACCCGATGAGAGTACAACGGCAGAGACCCAAAATGGCCCATTTACTAAGATTGAGAGTTGAAAGAACAGCTAACACAATGCAGGTATATTGACAAAGGGATGAAATAAATGTTATAATGGTCCGCATCCATATAAACCTTCAGGTATAGATCCCTCACTAGGTGATAAAGTGCTAACCTCTACAAGGCAGAGCTTTTTCAATAACTTTTTTTGCATGATTGTTAAATTTTAGATAGAAAAGCATGACAACTGTGTCTACGATTACCTCGAAATTCGAGATGGTCTCTCCGAGAGTTCGCCAGTTTTAAAGAAGCTTTGCGGTTCCAACTTACCAACTCCAATCAAGTCGACCAATAACATGATGTACATCAAATTCGTCTCTGACAGTTCCGTTGAAAAACAGGGATTTACTGCCGAGTTTCAGAAAGGTATGTTCCAATGTTGCTTCAATAATAAATTAGGACTTTGCTTTTACTCGGTAAATGACCCAATTCCAAAGAACACGAGCGTCAACTTGCTCCTTCCAAGTAGTTTATCAGATGTTCCTAAACAAACACTGTAGGATTCCTCATGTTTTGCTCAAATTAGCGTAAATCAACGGTTCGAATATTTCTTAATCAAAAGAGCAGAACAAATTGCTGGGCGTAGATTTTACCTTGGCAGAACATTTAGTAAAATTATTTGTGAATTCTGTAATTACCCTTGACCACAGTACACATTTATTTCAAATTGGATTTTGTGGATTACAAGATGTAGTACTGATTTAAAGAGTTTTGCAAAAAAAAATAAGTGATGATTGCCCCATTAACGGCATTACATCTCTGCCGGAACACCTGAGAATACTTGAGAAAATGTGACTTTTCTCTCTTTTTCCTTGTAGAATTTGACGAATGTAAGACGAATAAGCATGGCTGTTCCCACATTTGTGTTAACACCCTTGGCAGTTACCGGTGTCAATGCGAAATTGGCTACGAGCTACATCCCGATGGCAAGAGATGTGAAGGTAGGCAAAAATCTTTGCACAATCATTTTATGTTTCTTTTTCGTGAGAGTAATTGCTGTTTTTTAGAATTTTTGCAAAGCAACTAGTTTTACATTTCATTAAATTCCCACAATATTGAAAGAATTGTTGAGGGCTCCGTGGATAGGCTCACTTGTTTATAACTACACCAACGGGGTGGATGTTTTAGGTGAATTTGACCTACGCCAACAGTAGAATTTCTTATTTGTAGACAACAGCAAGTTATTAATATCATGAACATACTTGCCTAATAATCCCTTCAGCGTCCAGTGGGTTCATACCGGAATAGCTAGGGGGAGAATATCACCAGTGGAATATTTTCAAAAGATCATGTAACTTGTCTTGATGAGACACGTAAGATGCCATAAGGCGACCTTGGTAGCCATATTTAGGTTCCGGGTACAGACTAGCACAATGACCCCAAGAGACCTTGGGGAAAAAATTGGGAACCCACAACAAGACCTCATTATCTCCAGACGAAAATCAGTCATCCAAAAGACTTGCACTTTGTATGACTGAGAAAGTATTCTGATAGAGAGCTGAAGCTGTTTTCCAGATTTTAAAAATGCCGAATCGGACTAGGTTGAGGAAGGAGAGCATTTTAGAACCCTTGTGAGACGTGCATTTACATTATCAGGATTCGATTTAAAGCCTCTGCGCCGAAACTGAATAAAAAGGAAACAACTAATCCCTTATCACTCATGGTTGATGTCAAAGAATTCATGTTTCGTTTCCTTGTTAGTGGGTTTTCTTGCAAATTCAACTTTTAAATGTTCAATGTTGAAAAGCCATGAAGGGGCGTTTCTTGAAATTTCTTATTTATTTTGAAATACTCCTACCCTTTCCTTCGGTCTCAAATTCTCCCTCCCCACTTTGGAACCCCAAAAATTCAAAGACCCACATACTCCAAACAGTTTCACTCAAATACAGTTGAAATTTAACAATTGATTAATCCAGCATATAACATGCACCCTACTACACTTCAAAAATCATTTTAGATGCCTGTGGTGGAGTGATTAATGCAGCTAACGGAACCATTCAAACACCAGGCTTTCCAGCCGAGTATCCACCCAACAAGAACTGCATTTGGAAGATCGTTGCAGCGCCCAAATCCACCATCTTCCTCAATTTTACTCACTTCGACCTTGAAGGCAAAAACGTAAGTATTTTACAACTTTGCTTTTGGATTTCTTCAGTAGAGTGACACAGAAATATATTGATAGTGTTGTATACTATCTGCAGCCTAAGTAATCCCTACTTCGAGATTGGTTTGTCATTCAAGCGGGTACTGCAAATTATTTAAACTCAATATGCTATCGCATATCCATTACAACGCAACTGGACATGTAACATTATGCATAAATCCACGCAACCGATGCTGTCGACAGGAAGGAGAGCTACTTTGTATCCATTCTCCACTTGCCTTTCATTTAGCTTCTCCCGTCAACACTGACACTTTTGACAGACCTCTATTGTCTCCTCAGAAGTGTGCGTGATAGAGTAGTCCACAGTGGAACACTAAATGAAAATTTTTTTGCCAGAGGCTGCCCATTACCCTCGCTCGCGCAGTTAGTCAATCGCACATCGCAGATATTTAGCGCTTGCAATTCGGGTGAAATGATAACAGTGGTAAGAAGCCAGAGAGTGTAGTTGATTTACCGTTTAAGCGACGTTTACCCGGTCCAATTATCGAAGGTACCGGTGATGTTAATACTAAAGCATTTAGGTGTCATCCGGTTCTAACTGAATATTCCATTACCTAACATTCGCGTGAGACTTTTGTTTACATATTCACTTTTTAAGCTTTTTTAAAACTAGTTTACTTAATCCGTTCCTTGCCAGCGTCAAATATGCATAACGCGCCGATTTTCTTAGCTGAGGTAGGTGGTACAATCAGGTATCATTTATGCCTTACTAGTTTGCAAAAAAATCTCGCGAAAAATTGTGATTTAAACAGGTTGGTTGAGTCTCAAATGATAAAATGGACGTTGGATGTTCTCGGTCTGGGGACGGTAACCTCAAATCTAGCAGTTTGTGCAAAAAAACCTCGAGTTGCCTTCGAGATCCCCGTTTTTAAACCTGTTAATAATTATTCTTGTAAATTTGCGTTTCAAAAGTGGGGAAATCCACTCCCTTTGCCTTACTAATTAATAATTCCTTCTGTTTCGAAAGGATATAAAGTGCTCTCTGATTGGTCCTTAGCTTGGGTTCATTTTACCAGCTTCTTATGATATCTTCAACATGCACATCGGCAGTTTTTCGCCGACCAACCGTTCTATTGTTCTTTTGACTAAAGTAGATAGGAGGAAGTTTTTCCAACTCCGCACTACCGAAATACAACTAATTGCTTCTGTGAGTCACCAGAAGTAAGTTATTAACCTGAGTGGCGTATTTCAAAAAAGTCTTCGCTAGCAGGTGATGAGATGGAGATAGTAGGTCAGGCTACGGCCATAAAGAGTTGCTTATCATTTAGCTGCCCCAAAATCTCCCGTGATTAGCAGAACATGAGTGTTTTAGTTCTCGGAACTAAAGTGACGAATAATGGTAAGCCGTGTTTCAAAATTTACGAATATTAAGCAAAATTTGTGACTCCTTCTTAATCTGAGACTGAAAGATTGAAGTTTTCCACATTAGGGTATGTGTGTAATGAAACAGAAAGTAGAACAATTAAAAATGTGGGCTGTGATATAGTTTTGCCGTCTCCAAGGTAACCTGACTAAACAAATCCTGATGTAGATAGACGATGAAACCCAAGGTGAAATTCTTGAAAGCTTGTTGATAAAGAACTGGAAGCTCGCAAATAAATATTAGTGTTCAAGGGTTAGGGTAGCCAGCTAACACGGTAAGACCAATTTGCTGCGATTGCCTGTTCAATATTGTGTTGGCCCTTGCAAAAACAATCTCCTCTCTCAACGACCTGAGGTCGGTCATCTCAAATGTTTTTAGCAAATATTTGGGTGAAGTAACAGAAACATCCAATGGGTAGAAACTCGACTTGTTTTCGACAGAGCTCAGTGGCACATTTGTGCGCTTGTTCCACCTTCTAGCAAATATCTGGAAAGCCTCGATATGGAAAGATTTAACAGTACAACTGTATCATCCTAGGACTGCTCGCCTGTCTTGGTACACAGCGTCCGCTAACTTCTTTTTAAAATTGCAACTATTTCCGAATAATTGTAGTTCCTGTTCTTGCGGAAAGATTGGTTTCGTGCAAGTTTACGATAGGTAGCATGCTGATTATCCAGGTCGAGGTGTTATTTGGTGAAAGCGCTTAATAACTGCTACTTTGTAGATTAGGAATGAAACTACTACGACCGAGATCGTCATCGACAGACATGTGGGGATGTCTTTGATTAGTTACCGACTTTTAGACATCTTATTTTCACTGAGCGTCCTCTGCCTTTAGGCATCACTACACACTGTTGCATTCGCGCAGTACCTCCACTGCCTGTCATCCGGATTAATAGAGTCTTAACCAGCCCAAGACAGGTGGGCTGGCTATTGGCAGTGGGAAGTACTTGGTGTTGTGCAAGGAACGGGCACGGCAGCATCCTCATCAATACCTACAATGTTACATTTCCCGATTTTACCTGAATTGTCTTCGTATAGAGGGGAATTTTGATGCTTGATACCAAAATATCCGTTACGAAATCTTTCTACTCCAGAAAGCCTGCAACTACGATTTCATCAATGTCTACAGTGGTCCGCAACACAATCAGCAGAAGATTGGAACATTTTGTGGCAATACGCTTCCAGCACCGATCACTTCTCATACCAATGAATTGAATATTGAATTTTACACCGATGGCTCAGTGCAACGGACCGGATTCAGGGCAGTCTTCTTCACGGACCTAGACGAATGTGCGGACAATAATGGCGGTTGCCAACACATCTGTCGAAACACTATCGGATCATACTACTGCGAGTGTAGGCCGGGGTACAAGGTGTATGGCAGATTTAATTGCAAGGAGAGTGAGTACTTCTGTCCTGTTCCTACCTTGAGCTGTAATGTTGTAGAAATTTGAACAATAGCGTCCGAGATATTTCTAAAGCCGTCCAGTCATTAGTACCTCTATGAGCATGACTTGATGTCATTAACGTGGCAGTCAAATAGTGGGAGATCGCAGTCCCAAGCAGTAAAATATGCAATAAAAATGCCATTTACTACAAAACCCCTCGCCCATTTTAAATTCCATCTTCGAAGTTACATAGCGATCGCGCCTTGCACACCAAACGCTTTTGCCTAGGAGTAAAACCATTTCAAAAATGCTTACCATATAGAGCTCTAATGGAGCCGTTTTGTGCATCCAAGCCTCCACTCCACCTTATTGCTTTTGCAATACTGTGCAGCCACCTGGGTCGTTTCACACTTCTTGAAAGTGAAGCGATATTGGGTTAATGTCGTAAGCGGTTCTTCAAGAATCTACCTTGCCAAAATATGCCTTTCATTGCATGAGTTCTATATTGTGGGGGATTTGTCAAAAGTTGGCACCGTTTCGGTAGCACTTTCGTTAGGATCTCTGCAGAATTAGTTATCCTACTGTAATATTTTGGTGTAGCATCTTGTCAATGAAATCGAAGTTGTTATTGCTGTGGAGAGGGTTTACTCACTGCTGTCACCAGTGCAACATCCGAGCTACCTGTAAAAAAGGCATAAGGCGTACGAGTCTCTAAAACGATGATAATGGGTGACCCAGCATAGCCTAATGTCATTAGTGCGATAAGGGAATCGCGGGAGGCGAAAAAGATATTTTTTTAATCTGATACAAATTAAAATGAATAATATTTACATTATAACATCGCGGATTAAGAATATGAGCAATTTAAACACCAACCAGATGTTCCATCTTCACATGAAAAATAAACCTGTCGATGGAGCTACGGGTGATGGTGCGAAGATAACTAATTCCTCCGAGTTGGCTTAGGCTTCTACAAATCATGTTTCGATTTATAATGGTAAGTTGAGGGGTTTGGGGTCTAACAAAACCGAGTTCACTGCATAGGAATATCAAGCTCCAAAACAGTCCTTGGACTGTTACGAAGACTTCACTTTCCTCACAGTCTCTTCATTATGATATTCGCGATATCCATTATAACGGAATGTGACAGTTGGTTCTCATTGTCAGACGGCTTTCCGAAGGAATGCCTTGAAATATTTGTTCATCCTCCTTTCATGGTGAAAAAACCTGATGGGCTTCCGGACAAGTTTTTTAGCGCAATCTCGTTCGGTAGCACATATGGAAAGGCAAATCGGTCGAGTGAGGGCCTAGAAAGTTTACAAGTGTTAGGATTTGGCTGGTTCCTCAGGCAAGGTCGACAAATAGAAATTCGGCTGTCTGATTGAATTTCATTAGTTTGGAAAGTGATATTTTTCACCCACAGGCAATGCAAAAGAGGTGCAAATTTTCAAGCAGGGCACCCATTTGCTTAGTCGCTACCATCACTTATTCCGAAGGTATGTAGCCAAACCGCCCCATGGAAGTGAGTATATAAACGAAAAAACGAGTAGTTTACCTGATAGTTGTGCTTTACAAATAAACGGTTGTACGATTGTTATGAAACATTGTTAATAATCCGTCAAACTTCTTTGAAAACTTATTTTTGAGTAAATTAATTGGACTTTAGACTGGAAATAAATACTTGAGGTCACAAAAAGAACAATTTACTTTAATTTCTTTGCAAACTCTCGACGAATGTCGATTGTACGCGACAGAGTAGGCTAAAAGCATTTCAATCCATAGGAAACGGCGTTCAGTAGGGGAGTATTACAGTCTTATAGGACACACTTCTCCTTGCTCCATATTTATGTCTACTTTTTAAAATTATCTGCCACTTGTCAAGTCCAGAGCCATGAAATAAGTAATAAATACTGCTCCATGTTTTTTAAGTTGGAATAAGCGCCGGTTGTCAACAAGAAATCTCCTCACCGGAAGGTGAAATTCGAACACCAAATTGGCCTAGTGAGTACCCAGCAAGACAGAGTTGCCAATGGAAGATCACAGCAACACCGGGACACCGTGTCAAAGTTGTAAGTCTCCAAAAATCTACCACTGTTATTTCATCCCCATGTGGATGTAAGCCACGTAATATACCTACTGTAATGGTACAAGTAGTAAGATTTTCCAACCGCATGCAGGTGTTTGACGCATTCGAGGTGGAATCACATCAGCAATGCATGTACGACCGAGTGATCGCCTACGACGGCTTGACTACCGATGCGCCACAGCTAGGGCGCTATTGCGGTAGTCGTAAACCCGCACCAATCATTTCAACTGGAGCTACCCTTCTCCTCACTTTTAATGCCGACGGATCGGTTCAGAGAAAAGGTTTCAGGGCGCAACACTCAACGGGTCAGTTCACAAATCACACTCCCAGCCGATTCGTTCATTAGTGGGTGGAATTATCTTGATCCTCTCACCCTTCACATTTGTAGTGTGTGGTGGTGAATTGAAAGCAGACATAACATCTCAAAACCTCTTCTCTCATGCCAAATTTGGTGATTTGGATTATCCCGTGAACCAGCAGTGTTACTGGACCGTTCATTCAAATCTCAAGAATTATACAATTCTCATTCGTTTCCTATTTTTCGAAGTGGAAGAGGAAACACTTTGCACGTAAGTGTTCCGTTGGTTTTCATTTATTTGCAACGGCCATTTGAGAGGTTTTCTTCTAATCTGTCATTGACAAGTTCTTTATAAAGGCGTAAGTTGAATACCCCACTTTATAAGTCGATTGTCGTCCATGCACAAATTTTCACTTTGAAGCACACAAAGTAGTAACTGCGTCCCTCCACGCAAAGCATAAAGCAGGGAGTGTAAAGAGCTTGAAACCACTTCAAACTGTTCAAAGAGGTCTTGAGAAAGGGGAAATTTTCAAGTGATAAATCACTGCAGAGACAAAAAATCCTTTTTTATAATGACATCGCAGTTGAAGTTGGTCATGTAAATTGGTGATGAATGCTTAGTCACTTTCAAGTTTTTTCTTTTTTTTCAACTAGATATGACTATGTGAAGATATTTGATGGTCCGGATGGAACGGCTCAACGCTTGGGTGAATACTGCGGTCGGAAGGTAAGCAAAAAAGCAATCGCAACTGGAATTCTAGAAAGTGAACCTTAGAAGTTTTAATAATCACACTTGCAAACGCGAAACCACTACCAGCAAGCAGACGACTTAAATTTAAATGATTGCACAGGCAATGAGTGATATGACTAAACAGGAGGCTCCAATACTGTGGGACGATTAATCTTCAACTGACCAATTTTCTTTTCAGTTGCCCCACGATTCCTACGCTGCGTCTGGAAGCATGCACATCCAATTCTACACTGACGATACCATCAGTGGCAAAGGATTCCACGCGCAATATCAACTGGTTCCCAACGGGGCTGTAGCTAATCAAAATCAACTGAGCCTTTCACCAATCGTCAAGCTGCCTAACTCCCCACCCTCCTTCTATCGCTCCGAACAGCCTGCCTACAGGCATCGACGCCAGTCGGCGGTCACTCCTCCCCGAGCTAGAGCACCCTTCCATGGAAGCCGCTATGTCTCGGGCATCCATCGCACTTCACCTTGGGTGAGCCAGAAGACTCTCTATGGAAATTACCTGCCACCAGCCGTTGAAACATCACGTCAATCACGGGCTTGGAGGGTGCCTTATCGACCGCCTCAGCCTCCGACACAATCAGTACGGACTCGAACTCGGATCTACAATCCCCACGCAGCTTGGAGCGCCAATGGTTATCGTCGGATGCATCCACAATTAAGAGCCGATGTTGAATATGGGATCCACGAAGTGGGAGGGTCAAAGAGCACTTATCTCCCGGCTGCTGCAAGCCATCGAAGTCAGCAACAGCAGAAAAGACCCGTCTCCAGTGTCACCGTGAATACCTCTTATCGTCGCATTTCTGCACCCTGATAATAGGAACGTACAAAACTCTTAAATGACTTCAACAACGCGAAGCAACAACCAGCACGGAAATTTCACACGCGTACACATCTTAGGTGACGTGGTTTTTGTAGTCGACCTACTGCCCTGCCCCCCCCCCCCCCTACCTCTACCCTGTTCCGACCCTTTACCTCGCCTGCTACTTAAACATGGTTTGAGCGCAGTCAAAGGCAGAGGGGGTTTGACTTGACGCTCGAACTAATCACAAAAAAACAAGTAAAAACTGAAACGTGACATGTTAATTTCTTAGGGAAAAAAGGCGCTTTTTGGGGCGCCGTTAAATAAAGAGATTTAAATATGTTTATTAATATATCTACATGCTAAAAGCGCATGTGTTAATTTGCTCCTAGTGGAAGAGGCCTACCTTTCCATACTGGTAATGAAAGGGTAGTAGTTATTGTAAAGTCGGGATTCATTCAAATTATCATCAGCGGATTAAAATTGTACGACATTTCTGCAAACAGTATAACTGCGCGGCATAATTTTAAATAATACGATTATTGTGGAAACTGAAGGTAAAAAAAAATTAGGAAAACACCAACACCAACAGACAACATGCAGGTAGCTTTTTCGAAAGCTATAATATGACATTGGAGTACCCTTGAAAACCGACAATAGATCACTCCAAGAGGAATGCAAATGTCAGATTGGAAAGACTCATCCATGCCACTCTATCCTGACGGCTGAGAAATTAAAAGATAATGACCAACTACCAGGTGCCCTAGGAGAAGTGTGTGGGATTTGACTGGGTTACGCCTTTAAAGTTGGATAAAAATTCCTTACCTGTGGTGCTCTCCCTCCTCCAGGCATAAATGAAATAAGTACAAATTTAGCACTAGATAATGTTTCAACATGACAAACTTATCAGTTATCCGATTACTATGAGCTATAACGTAATAAAAGCTGCTTTAACTGCAGATGCATTATTCCACTGAGCATCTCAGTCTGACAATTCCACTGCCACGCTGGTGGCAGGACTTCAGAGCAAGTCACTTATGCTACCAACAACTCAGTGCTTCTGCATGTTGATGACAAAGGGGATTCCAGTTTTCCACATATTCAAACGAATTCTAGGAAGACGTTGACTTCAATTTGGTAAAAGATGTAGAAGCCCGAGTAGTCTGGACATTATGCAAGAAAGATGAATCACTCAAACCCCCAAATCCCACTTCAAGACACCACCAACTATTAAAAAAGAAGGAAAGCTAATATTGCAAGGGACGGGGTCAGTCAAAATCACGTATATGATAAGATGAGTTTGGCAACGCACGGATAGAAGCCGCTTCCATCATCATCCTCTGCATCATCGGCAATCATTTTGCACAACTGCACCTCTTCGAATCGCCCATTTTCGATGAGGTGGTGCGTCTCAAAGGCGAGGAGAATGCCCATCGTTGAGAAGGATTCCGAAGAGCATTGACTAGACAGAGCAAGACCATTTGTCTCAGCGGCGAGACGCAAAGCCTGGCGCTGAGCACGCAGGCGGGAATTGAGCACTGTCATATGGAGTTTCACGGGGTCACCCACACGACGGCAGCCGCTGTGCAGTCCACGGCGAGTAAACATATCGGCTAGACCGTTGGCAAGGGTCTGGAGACGACAGCTCTGGACATTTTCTTTCAGCTGGAGCGACGAAACAAAAATTCAACGAATCGTTGATTTTACGAGCCAGGAGACCTTGTAATAACTCCCACTTTGATACTAAGGTTTAGAGAAAGATTTGTTTGATTAGCTGAAGGTTTTCTTGCAGCTACATTGGCGGAAGATTTAGCGTATCTACAATTTATGGTTGAATACTTAATTTTTGTGATGGGCATCTCAAACTACTAAAAGAAGAAACGAACTCCGAATGGAGAGACCATCAATAAACTGGCCAAATTAAAAAAATAGCTTTGATACAAAGAGAGGCCATTTGCAAATGGCATAAACATTACATGGAAGTGAGAAAATTGCAAGTTAGGGAATAACGTATTAAAATTTGGGGAAGATGATTGACCATGAAGCAAAACAAATGGAAGAAGCATTCTTCTTAGGCTAAAATGCAATTTTATGACGTTGAGGAATTTTCGTATGTTCAGTTTTCATTTCGTTGAAAGGAAACAATAGAGGATTTAGGAGCATAAAATGAAAAAATGAAATTGAATTTTAAGGAATAAGAAACGTGGAGATTGCCATTTCCCATTTTAATTACTCTGGTAATAGAATCGGTATTTATCGGTAAGCATACAAGCACCACACCTGAAATGCCAACGATAAATCAAATATCACATCAAATTAGCTTTCAAGCGTCAAAATGGCTCAAATATAAAGGTTTTAAAAAATGAAGTATAGGGTAAGAATGTTGAAATTTTCGTGGTCCAAACAGTGAACAGAGTTGGAAATTCAAAATTTCGGGAAACAAATCGCCAACTGAATATGCAAGAAAGCAAGTAGTACTTGAAAATCATGAACAAAAACATTGCCATTTTAGACTTGATAAGAGGCGGAAATTAGCGCTAAAGTGTATTTTCTCAAAAAAACGATGAAATGTTAAAAAAAGCAATATGGAAATAAAAGGTGAAGGTTCCATTTGCTTAAAAACGTCATAAAAAACCTGAAAAGAGATTTGTTACAAAATCCAACCGAACTTTCGTTAGTGCATGAGTCTCACTTCAAAATCGCTTTGAAATATGCTAACTTCTGGGAAAGAAAACCACCAAAATACTTCGTAGTTAATATAATCCCTTCTCAATTACTTTACCCCCGCTAAAGACGGTACATATGGATTCACTATAGGGGTAATTATTATTTGTTTCTACCCAAAAGTAATGTAATACTAATTGAATCTGCACAATGGAAATTGCTGGTGTCAAGGCATGTAGAGGGGGAGAGAGGAACAGTAACAGAAGCCTTGATAAAAACTTACAGACATATAGAGAACTCGCGCCGACCTGGGATCATCATTCATACAATCAATTCCGCGAATGGTTAGACACAGTGGTGAGCGATCAAACGCCCTACCCTCATCTGTTTGATCCAGAAAAGAGGTTAACAACTGTGAGGCCAGTCTGACTTCCTTTTGATCAGCAAGGAAGAGAGTCGCTAGGGTGAAATGGAGTTTGTGTTGGGAGACAAAGAGATCGCCATCGATACCACGGAAACTTCCTTCCTTGTCGTTTTCAACGTGTTCCAAAATATCTTTTTTGAATGCCAAATAAGACTCTTTGATTGCATTGCTAATGACAGGTAGACAAACGAGATGGGTGGGCTTCATTTTTGGTCTGGATTCAGCGACAATCCAAGAAATGCGTCGAGCCACATTATGAATGTTAGCCACGGACTTAGCAAAAATTTTGATATAAGAAAGGGATGACTGAGGGCCAGGAATATCGAGTCGACAGTGGAACTGGGACTCAAGCTCATGTCTCCTAATTTGCTTGACACCAACTATGCGGGAGTAGAAAATTGGCGGGACAGAGAATTTCGCCACATAACCTCCAAAATCAGACTTAATTTCTTCCATAATGTGACATGTCTGATCTGAGTCAAAATCATTGTTAACGGGTTCTTCGACAGGTTCAAAGTCAGTTTCAAGACGTCCAACCGGAACCATTGTGCAGCTGGTGGATTTGATTGGATTCTTGCGATAGAGCTTGTCGTCGATTTTTATCAGAGGTGGCGACAGGATGTCGGCGGTGCGATCCATTACGAATGAATCCATACTTGTGCTAGAAATCACACAATATAACCCCGGCTGTTTATTGTGAGCTCATAACTAATAAATGATTAAAACAAAGTGGTTGAGGTTTAAAAACCAGACGGGTGTTTTCACATAAGGTAAGCACAGTTTATCATTGCGCTTCTGTGCAATTGTGTTTTCACAGAAATAGAATGAGATGCCTTGTGAAAACGTGCAATTTGTATAAATATGAGGAGAGTTAAGACAGTGTTAACCATTTATACCATGAAATATTAATATCTAAGAGCTGCATTGTTATTTTGGCCCTTGCATAGTTAAGTAAGCATTGATAGTGTTTGTGGTAGGCGAAGTGTGCGCACAGGCCTTCGCCATTGCATATATACAGTTTAATTCAATTACTCATCTAGTCATTTAGCTCCCAACTTTTTTTCGAAGTTCTACTGTGGCAAACTAGTATAAAGATGGGCTTGTCGTTAACACATTGAAGGAATGTGAGCTACGGAATGGCCAGAGGCCCATACTGCCAAACGCTCACAAATCCAATAGAGGCTTAAGAGCTTGTAGACTCACTCATTCGACCATGTAAAGTGTCGAATTGCTCCATAGCCCTCTTACCCGTTGAACTTTATCTCCAGCAAGGACAGCTATAGCACCCTAAATATTCTCCGAAGTCGTTAGGAGTAACCGTAGCATGTCGGAACATACTGATGTGCAAAAGAGCTGAAGCCACAGGCAGGTCCAAAAGGCAATGTCGCCAAGTAGAATTACGATCAAGGGGACCCAAATATCCGAATAATCAAGTGCAGGGTGGAACAAACAATCTGGGCATTACATTAGTCGTAGGAACTTTGTGACGACAAGAAGGCATATACTCCCCCTGCAAACTCGAGTTTGTCTGCAACTTCGTCCATCTCATGAACCACGCTGGTGGAGAAGTCTAACCGACTCCTTACTGCTTAAGGCCTCAGCATGCTCCGCAAACAACACCCCTCAGATGGCAACTGCCATTTGTAGAAATATTTGCCCAAAAGTGAAGTCATTTCAATGCTACCCAACCGGCTGCCTTGGCTTCGCTCTGCTGCTAGTCGATAACGCACAATTACTTCACAAATCTCCATATAAATGCCCTTAATAACCCCCACAACACACTCAAATCGCCCATCCCATGTGTGTTCTAAATTCACTTATGAATTACTCTCTTGTAGAACACGAGACTGGAGTGACTGGTAAAAGTGAACGCAACATTGACAGCCCTCGTTGTGAGTTACCGCAGGTTTTTACAATGACACTCAAATTTGACAACTGATTGAAGAAATAAGGATTGGTCCTTACTTGGATCGGATTCTCTTACCGTTGTCACCAATGCAACGCCCGGCCTTCCACTGAGGCCGCGTAAAAAAGCAGACATGTCCAGAAGGTCAGGTCGGCAAGAGTAGGGACCTAGGAGACTGCAAAGCCTGCGCAACAAAACGTACAGCTAAACAAATGGCAAACCAGTTAATCAGTTATTCATCCCATCAAAGGAATCTACCCTAACTTTTACTATATTTTTTGATGGATAAATAGCATTATTTTAAGATGAAATGCCCCCCTCAAGTAAGAGTCAATATCATACATAGTTATATGTGCAACGGCAGAAACGCCCTAACACCGGATCAAAACACTCTGGTACTAAACTTCGCCCCTGTTAACCTCAAGGGATCATTAATACCTAACCTAGTACATGGACAGACCTGAAATGAGATCTTAGCTCACATCTGAATATCCATACGGATTATCACCTAATATTGTCGTAACCTTAAAACCACTCGTGTGTCTCGAGCACTTCATATGACAACAATGCTATAGTTCGAATGAAAAGTAAACCACTACAATAATAAGTACTACAAGAGTTCAATTTCGATCATTACAACGAGCATCCTAATGGCGAACACCTCCCCGGCAGACCAGTCAACATATTCATGCACAGCATGTCACTGCTGAACCGACATGATCCGGAAGGGCTCATTGCACGTTAGACGTAGGAAAACTTGGACCTAGAGAGCAGCCTCGGATCACTATTTTCTCCAACTTCAATCAGGCATGTTCACAGGCAAAATATAACTTTGGGCAGTAACCACGTTCACTACAACAGGGATTAATGTTGCACAAATGGGGTGCACAAGCAGAACAAATTAGCAGTACCCGTATAAAAAGTGGGCCAGGTAATCTGCCAGTAATGAAAAACATACTTTGACCAACACAAGGTACACCAGTACAATTAATCACAACTTATTCCGAGTTTTCGATAGTCTTACCGAAAAGAACCCAAAGAAGTAGAAACGAATTATAAAAAGCGGGGACCTAATTAAATAACTTTTCTGGCAAACTAAATTGGAAGAGTTCGCAAACAATGCGGACGCAAAGCTTACGAAGGGACATCTATCTTGCAAAGGAAAAAGAGATTTCAACATCAGAAACCGATTTTCCAAACCAATCCACCTGTTTACAATAGGTGCAAGAAGTTGAAAGTCAATATTAATACCGAAGTTGGTAACCGCGTAACCTACTACCCAACTGCAGAAATACAAATTAACAAGTTCAAAGCTAAAAAGGCCGACAGACCTGGTAAATTCATATGTACAAGACAGCATAGACACCAGTGCAAAAGAAATATCCATTCACGGGAAGGAATTATTACTACACGACGATCCGATAGGTGATGTAGCGACCAGCCGTTTCTGATGGTCGGTTGATTCGCACTACTTGACCGCGTTTCAGACCGTAATACCTCGCCACGGGATCACTCACCTGCATTTTGGGGAGCTGGCTTTCCTTCAGACGACTAAATGAGGCGTTACTAAAAAAAACTGAAGCCTTACTATCCATCCAAAAGTTCCTTCTTTTCCTCATTTGTCAGAACACTGTGCTTGGGAACAAGCTGGTGTTCCGTTATGTTGACCATGAGCTCGTTCTCATAGAAAGACTCTAGCGTGTACTTGTGAGACATCTCGGCAATGGCCTACAAGACTCGAAAAAACCAAATCCTTACCGTCTTTGCAGCTGGAGTCAGACCACCATCCTGAAGTACAAGGATGGCTTTGTAGGTGTGATCCTGTTGCATCTGATCAATGTACGCACGAATTGTTTTCATGTTAACCTTATCCTCTTCGGGGAAAAAGACGTAGAGCATATCTGCTGGATCCTCTTCGTGATTGACAACCATAAGTAGGTCTTTCCTACTAGGTGGATCACCAACAGCCTCCTTAAATTCATCTAGTGTTTGGTCCAATTCCTTTTGCATAACAAGGTAGCCTCTATCATGACACATTTGCAAAATGGTTTTCTTAATTCGCCAGAGTTTGTAGGTCTCAAAATCGTCGAGCATGCTGTATACCCACAAAGAAAGTAAAGAGGCGCAAAGCAGAGAAGCGATGCCTTTAAAACCAATATTCCTATTAGTTGCTTTAAACAACGAACAAATTAAACCAAATAATTACAGTAAACAAATTTTTTGAATTAATTTTTCTGAAGAGATAATTAATTATAATTTGCACAGTTATGGTCAGTGCACCGAGGAGATTGTTTAATACCTTCTGTTTATCAGGTTTAAGCCACAAGTAAATAATACGACAAATGAAAAAAGTGTGCCTAACATACATGATCCTGAAACAGGTGATTTTTTTATTTATCGCTTTGTTAAGCACTGTGTATCAAGTCCCAAACATTGGTTCCTTTGCACACCTTGCTACTGTTATAAACCATTGCATTTCTAGTCGGTTCCCCGTCTTCATCTGCTTTTCCATCAAAGGCTAGGAACCTTTTTTTAAATCTGCTATGCTTTTTCATGACAACTTATTGTAGCCTCCCGAGACTCCCTGAAGACGAAAGAAGACACAATACTCGGGCAGAATATAAATTCAGCGCAGAGAAGGCGTCTGGGCTATTGGCATGGCCCAAAAGGCCAGCCCACCCAGCGAGATACAAGGGGGCTAATTCAAAGTACAAAAATGGCACCTCACCAGGATCGAGGGATAAACCACTATCGTATTACATTATTGACTTCAATTTGTATCAAACATTTGTCTGCCTTAAACTACGTGTCAATTCAGTTACCACATGGTATGCTTCCACTCTACGGCATGGCCTTCGATCCATGCTAGCGGCTCTCCAACTCCTCTGTACATTAGTGTCAAAACCTCTTGCACTGTGCTGCAGTGTTTTTATTGCTAAGTAGCACGCTCCATACACTACATGAGTACATTAAAATAGGGCAGCTGTTATGTAGCAGTGTGGGTATTTACTGGTGTTGTAATAATCCAAAATTGCACAGGAGAAAATATACCACTAACTACTGGCATGGTCCTGGGGGGACGACTTGTCTGCCCCGGAACTCTCTGCAGTCAAGCCCCTGCGTCGGCCATTAAAATGTCGTCAGAGGCTTTAATGCCCATCTGCGAACCAGCAACGTCAGTAGCTGAATGTTTCTTTCAGATTGGAAGGCGTATTATGCCAACGTCACTGACGCATCTCATTAATTTTACTGTACTGGAGTTTCGCCCCATTTGCAAGCTATTTTTGATAAGGTAAATACACAGGTTTTTATGGGGCTCAAGACCAGGCCATGGTTAACACAGAGAACCTCAAGTGCGTTAAGTGCCGGTCATAAGGAAATTGACCTAGCTGCTGAACCATTTAAAAAAGACAATAATTGAAATAAGTTCACAGGCTAGCATACCGCATCTATTCTTCATACATTTATTCAACTAGCATTGCTATACAAAAGTCATCTTGCATCACAGCACAGTCAATCAGCCAACCATTTATCCAGCTAGTCGGCAAAAACTCCCCCCGCAAGCACTCCATTTTATAACTACAGGAGAAACAGCAAAGTGATTGTCTTCAACGCAGATGCGAAACTTTTACATGGTCGCTTCCGTCATGACTTTTCTTCTCCAGTTGGTGCAGGTGGTGTTGACTATCAACCACACTAAGCACTACATTGCTAAAAGTAAAAGGGAAGAACGTCGGATACCCAAAAGATTTTGGAATAACTCATTTCTTCACGGAAGTTGGTGGGCAAGAACCATCTCTTGACATTTATTTGTTGGAAATTTTAGGGAATCGTTTTAAAAGAAGCCATTTACCAACTTGTCGAGCATTCAGGAAAGTTCTTCTGCACCATAAGATCGCTGTTAAACTTTTTACATTAGAGAAGTTTGCAGGGGAGAAACGTATCTCAGAATACCATAGTTTTATCCATTTGATTATTTTCTTGCTATTATAAATTTACTGACTGCCTTATTAACTAGGGCTGGTGATGCGAAACATCTTTTATATGGCAATGTTATCTGCAGGAACATATTCCACCGATACACCCTTTATCCACTCCACACTTCCAAAATGCGCATAATTTCATGGTTGTATTTTTTGTGTGTGTGGTTCACCGAAGACACAGGTACTCATTAGGATCTGTTAATTTACCAAAGACCAAACCAGAATTGCAGCTATGGTCCATCTACCTCATGTATAACAATTCAATTTGAGGGCGAACGAGAACAACTTCTCCAGGGAGGACCGGGACTATTTAATCAGTAAAATGGTATTTTCATTGTTTTCCTTGCAAGGTTGTGCGAGGTAGCAAGGCTTGTTCTGCAAAAAAACTGATCCTATCGAAGACTTGTACTTGTGGAGGTAATAATGTCGTTTCCTCATCTTTTGTATCACTTTGACAGTCCTCCAATTTATTGCCACCACTTTGCTATTCGACATTCCCATGCCGAACACGACAGGCAATTAGGGTATAAAGGTGAGATTTAAACTATTTAGGGTTTTTTGGCTTCGAAATACCTAAGTATTTTATAAGAGCGCAATTCATTACATCCTTGTGCCTCGTTGAGAAAAGACTTGAGATTTTGAAGGTAAATTGTATTGTAGGAGATCCTTACAAACTTGCCCAAATAATTTTCATTAGATTCGATTTTTCTCGAAATACCCACACTTTAACTCTGCTAGTACGCTCTCATAATTTTGGTCTTTTTGTTCCTTAAAGTTGCTCTAGTATTAATAAATATTATAATGACTTAAGAGATGGCTCGGACTCCACGTCATTTTACGGTGATGTTGTAATCTCTCAGGTAGAATGGAATGTTTGCCCTTACTTTGAGGTGATAAAAAACACCAAAAGTCATGGATAGACTGTGACGGATAAAGCCAAAATTGTTAACAAAAGTGATAACACACTTATTTGGTAGAACCGTCTCAGAATTGTGTTGTCTTATGCACTGATAGACATAACCAAATAGGGTCAGCCTACTTCTACAATTAATTTGCGCAGCATCACAAAACATGGATGGACAATGTTTAGTCGTCACGTTTTCATGAGGTCTGGGGGACATGAAGGTAAAAATAGCGTAAACCAAAAAGTAGATCCAGTGACGATAGACTGACGCGAACCTAGGCCTAGTGACGCATATCAAAGTGACAAGTTGTAATTTGTCATTCCAGCGAGCTATACCAAGAGCCACCTACTGCTGCGATGCGATTTTTTATGCCTGTTAGGTGAAAAAGTGCTGTTTACGCTCAGCATGGCCCCTGTCTAAACACTACCCTAAATTTCACCGTCAAAACTCCCACAACATAATTGTGAATACCTCAGGGTCTTGTCATTTTTCCATTCAAAACCCAAAGTAGAAAGTCTGTACATCAAACAAATTTGTCAGCAAGTGTAAGCATGTCAATAGAAAATTTATTGCTATCCTCATATCGGTAATTTTGAAGTACGCAAAACAGGAATAGCGTATAAATGAACCAAGCTTTGGAAAGGCTCACAAATAATTTGAGTATCTACTGCTTTGACAGCCCGCAGCAATTTGAATGATAACAAAAATTAAGGGAGATAAGGATGGACAATTTTAAACATAATGTGCATAAATAGAATACATTAGTTGATTGTTTGACCCTTGGTTTATTAAAAAAATGCTCCCCTTAGGGTCTCCGTCATTGTACTGTCGGGGAGGAGGCAAGCCTCTGTATCATGTCAGTAGTCTCAAGCCCAAATGTATGTTGAATACCTATGTTCTATCCTAGTTGTATGTCCTTTCCCACCTTCAGATAAGTTTCGAGACGCTGCATTGGAGGCGACAGAAAGCAAACATGAACCCAAAGGACAGGTCCGGATTTCTACTGCTGAGTGATAAATCAGAAGTGCATATGGTGCAAATGGGCGAATCGGTGATGAACATTAACAGAAGGGCTGAAAATGACACCTGCCTACGGCAACTACCCCAATCTCGTGGTCTGTAGGAAAGATATTAACAACTAAAGCTAAGTCATCCGTGAACTATCTGGAAAAGTTCGTTACGGAGCTATCTGTCCTTCCCGTATGGCAAGATAAATTACGTGAAATCGCAGTATCTCCTCCGCTTCTACTCCCGCTAAATCAGACCCAGATAGACAAAGCTGGGCAGCGCTGAAGAGAACAAAATGACAGGGAGGCATGGACGCTGAAACCTATTTCTACAAGACTATGTTAAGGTCAGGTATTTTGTTATTTGACTTTGCTGTTAGGCCTGTGTTCATAGGACTAACCCTGGACACACGTGATAGCCCGCACATTCCCCTGTCCTCAAATCCCGTTCCTACACGCAATAAAGCTCTGGGTACAGTAGAATTGCCAAGAAGGAGCGGTGGCGTTGTAGTCAGGTATCTCTTCTGTTGCGTGGAAATTTGGTGACTGGCACGGTTGGTTCGCGGGTGTTTTTCCTCTATTACCGAATACGTTGTGGTGGCTGATGCGAGAGATCGGCTAAGGGAAGCCCTCCGGGCCGTGTCAGTTGCCAACAGCCTTACTGTGTGCCAAAAATACATATTCCGCCCGAGCAATATTTCATACATCTTCTGAGAAGTCTCGGAGTGTTACATTAATATATTTGGAGTTTTATCAAAATCTATTATGCTGGTCAAAGGTGTTTGACGCAAGCACGTAGTCTGTGCAGAATCTAAGGCGCAATCTAAACAATTTCGTTAATCACTGGACTAGTGTACCCATCGACTTCATCGGCCATGGGAATGTTTATTGTTTACTGCCATCATACGCCCCTTCCTATCGTACTGAACTGTTTATTCCAGTGGAACCTGTAAATCCTAGCCTTACGAGGAAAGCCATCCGACTTATTCATGCATCGCATTTTGGTGATTTTAAACAAAATTTTGACTATCTGTTATTCGTAGCGAATAAATAAACATCCACCACAGGGTAAAGTTTTATTTGCTACTAAATGCTCTAAATCCCACAGTTATATGAAACCTTGATAGATCTTGTTCAAAAACAGAATCACCACTTTTTGGTACAAATACGAATTACATTATGTGATAAACGAAATAAAAGCCATTGTTTTTGAGAACTAATCTAATTTTCATTCAGAGTTTGGCACCGATAGAACAACAAAAAGCCTAACTGTTTAACCAAACTCAATAAGGTGGCCTTAAGGTCTGAATTGCAATTCTACTAATCTCTAGAATACACACCACTTAAGTGAAAAGATTTATTTCTGACGTAAAAGTGAAGACTAAGTCAGATTCCCATTTTGCTTATTTTAGTGTCCAACGTTATTTAAACGAAAATGCTTTACTAGTTGGATTTTGGCAGCTTAAAATGACTTTTATAATGTCGTAAATTTAGCATTATTCCATGGAAAATGTCTGACTGGCTAAATTAGTCGACTTTTTGACGGAAATGCACAAGGAGTTTAGGTTCAAGACGAGTAAAACGAGACCTGCAGATTCGGTTGTATGTATGTCAAATCTTGGGGTCCGTTAAAGGGTAACTTAATATTTTTCAATTTTCTTAATGCCATTTAGTTATGTACACGACATGAGCGCCACAAAGGAGGGCAGAAATAACAGAAACCAAGAGAACAAAGAGCTGCTAGCCGCAAGATGAATGGCATAATTCAAGTACACATTCAATCACAAGGTCCCAATAACCAATGAGAGAGAGGTTAAAAATAAAGCCAATGGTGGGACAACGGTGGGTAATATAAACGCGGATTCATGGCTATGCCACGCCCAATTCAACATGCGTGCATTGGCGTGCGCACTAACAGCGCTTTTGTGCTTTGTCACAACAGCTTTCATCGTAGGTCCACGAAGACTCCCTCGCTTCCTTGATGCCAATAACACTGTCACCATCTCCTTGCCTCAGGAACTGTTTGTCGATCTCCCTAACACATTTATTGTTCGCTCACTCAAACCCCTCTCCAACGTTGTGGTTTACATGACAACTTATGGGCTCAACACGCAGAATGTCGGTCTGGTGAATTTCGACCAATTGCATGTGAACAAATGCAGAGATGACGACATGTACACCTACCACTTGAAGTACTTTGTGCCGATTGAGCTGAAACCTGGCACCCGAATCAATCTCAATGTCACCTACCTCTACTGCCCGTCTAATACCTGCAAGGATGCAGACGAAGTGACAGCTGGGAATGTTGACAGGTCTGTTCAAATAGTGAGCCGATTTGCTGTGATTATGGGGGAGACTGATAAGCCACTCTACCGACCTGGTGATCAGGTGAGATTGCGCTTCCTTGCACTTACTAGTCGTACCATCTTGCCGCAAACTGAACCGCTTACATGGCCAAGATATCGTGCTGTTGGTGAGTACTGGGAAGAGAAGAGGCTCGAAATCATAGAGCCAAGTGAACGCGAGAGACGGATGAAAGCACCGTTCTTTGATTGCATTGAAATAAAGGACCCACTTGACAATATTGTACAGCAGTGGAAGGATGTCAAACCATTGGAAGCTCTCAATCTGACCTACCATCTCATTAGTGACGCCATGGAAGGTGAATGGAAAATAGAGGCCCGTGTGAAGGATGAAAGTGAGGAGATAAGATTCCAAGTGAGGCACTACGTTCAACCGCGGTTCCAGGCACACGTAGAGATGCCGAAGGCCATTCAGCCAGCAGATGCGGAGATAATATTCAAGGTGTGTGCTGCTTACACCAATGGTCATGCCATGATGGGCGCATTTGATGCTCAAATCTGCGTCTGTAATCAGAATGTATTGGAGCTCCACCAAACGTCAAAGCAGCTCATACCGAAGAACCAATGCCCTGGTTACCACAATTCAATCACGCGCACGTGTATGCGCTTCAACGGTGTCATAGACAGCCTCGCTTGCAGTACTATTACAGCCAATATCTCACAACTGGTTGGGAGCCAACCACCAAGCTGGATGGACAAACTTGGAGTGTTTGTAGAGATCGTGGAAGAAGCTACCGGTTCCTCCATTGTGGTCTCTGGCATCACTACCTTCCGAATGTGGCCCGAGCCCAAACTAGAGCTGAAGATTCCCAGTTCGTTTAGGTACGGTATCCCAATCGCTGGTCAGGTGCTATACAGAAGCGTCTCGAATGAAAGAGAAGAATTGGAAGTCATTGTAAGGGAGGTAACTGATCCTTGCGGTGGATGGATGATGCTCGCTGATAATAATCCGACTCGATTGAAGCGAATCATCTCCGTCACACCAGGAAAAGAAGCACACAATTTTGTGTTGCCACCGCTAAATTTCAAGAATAGCGCTTCAGTACTGGTGCGACGGATTTGCAAGAGTAATTGCACTGACGAGAATTCATCACCAAAAATTAATCATCGCTATTTCGGTTCGTGGCAGCTACAACGACCGCGTCCCGTTTGGGACTTAAGTGCATCCAAACGAATAG